AGCTGAAAAGCAGATAATTTCTATGATGCCACGCCATTACTCATAATTTGCCTGACTTGCAAATTGATTTCCAAAATAATAAAATCTATCAAGATAACCAAATCACAGTATCAAAAATAAGCAGTAATTCCATATTATGATATATATCGATAACAAGAAAACAGCATATGACCTTCAAATTCCCATAAAAACCTGCCAAAATAATTAAAAATAGCCTTACAGTTTGGGGGGTTTTTTGGGCAGGGGATAAGTACCGACTAATGTGGCTTGGTTTCATTACTAATCATAAAATATGAGCGTTTCTCTTTTCTGTGTAATTTCCAGTTAAACATTGCATGACATCAAATGAATGTATGCAGATTTGTAGACATTATCAGCATGGAGACCATACTTTTTTGGCAAGGTCTTCATGTTATGCATTACAGATAGCTGGTGAAAAGTCAGACTCGAGCTGGTTGCTGTGTTAGAGTGACTCCAAGTGGATTTCCTAAGTAAGTACAGTACCTTAGAAAATGAACAGATTTACAAAGTAAATCTCAACCCAACAAAAAAATGATTATATGATTTAACTTATATTCAGAAATCCCCTCTGTATGCTTGTAGACACCCTGATAGGGTGAGGGCAATCTGCATATGGAAACAAGATTTGATCCTGCACACACACACAAAAGATGCTACTTGGTAATAGTGAACTCATTCACTGTGGGTCCCTCTCTAGCTAAAATGACACTACTTACGCACGGGGGAGGCAACAGTAGGTTTGGGGAAACCATCCCCAAGTACACAAAAAGAACCTTTAGGAAAGCAACCTCTAAATGCGGCAAGGATCCACCCAACAGCTCAGTGAGGTCTAGGCTTGCCCAGTGACTGCAAAATGCTGAGAGATGGGATTGGGAGAACTGAGGAGATAGGAAATGGAGTGGAATATCCTAAGAAAGGGTATGGCTGGCTGGCAGGAACCCTGCTTGAACAGGAACACTCCACACTGCAATATTTTGTTTTGGGTCCAACTTCTAAAACGTAGCTGTCTTTTTAATGTTAATTGTCTACCCTGAGACTTATTTTATTGTTACTTTTGTATTATCTTGCTGGGCTATTTGGGTGGGCCCACACTCGGTACTTGGGGGCTGCACAGGCAATGCCTCTTGATGGATCAGGGCCAAACATGCATCAACAAAGAGCCGTCTTGAAAGCACCAAGCACATTCATATTTGAGAGTGGTGTAACTAATTCCAGACACCTTATTTCCTCTATGCCTTTCACAAAATTGGCAGTGGCTTGAAGCCTGGCAGTCCATTTTGGCAGGGAAATCTTCCACTGAGCAGTTTGCACACAAATTGCTAGTGTACATGACAGTATGATAATCCTCCCTGCTCTCCTTATGGAGAGACACATGGGGATTTGCATTAATTAACTGCCCCTGAATGGTTCTGCCTGTGGAGCTCAGTACACTGGGGAACCGATTGCAACATTTAGGACTCCTCCAGACATCCTATTTGTTATGCATTCATGATTATTTGTGCTCATGATGGTACTGGAGCGGTTATACACGATCCCAATTTCAATACTGTTTGCCCCTGCAAAAGCTTCTGGCCTGCTTTGCCACCAGCTGGTGTATGCCAACTTCCTGCTGAAATCCTGTAACTTTTCATGCCACAAATGTATTTATGTACATACTTCAGCAGTTTGTATACTGCTTGATCACAGTCATCTCTAAGTAGTCTCTAAATGACCCAGGAAACTGTTCGTGTCCCACTTTTCATGCACTGTAGCACAATAGTAATACTACAGCAATACTGGGGAAGCATTGAAGAACAGCTAATAATGGGGTGATGTGTGGCTGGTCCAGTATAAGTCCACCACATGTGTGCCACTTGCTTTTTGCCACCCTAGCTTACTGTGAAGAGTACAATTTAAAATGCCACTGGTCTCAAGCTTGGCAGCCCAGTTCACCCATCCCTAAGGCCAACCCTGATTGGACTAGTGTTCTGTGGCCCCCTAGTACTTGTGCTCTAGGGTTCTGCATGACACTCTTTTGTCCACAATGCAATTTAACATCTATATCAAGCCACTGTGAGAAGTGGTTAGGGATTTAGGAGTATGGTGTTAACACTAGGCTGATGACATGCAGCTCTATTTCTCCCTAACAGCTGAATCAGGCGTGTTGGTGCAAGCCCTGAATCAGTGTCTGAATGCAGTGATGGACTGAATGGGTGGTCAATAAATGGAGTGTGAATCCTGGGAAGATGGAGGTTCTGTGAGTAGGTGGTTCCCATGTCTGGAATATTCGCGATTGCCTGATCTGGATGGGGTTAAATTTCTTCTAAAGGAACAGGTGTGTAGCTTGGAGACATCTATTTCATTAGACATCCAAGCAACTGGTGTGGCTGGAAGTGCCTTTTCCCCGCTTCAGCTGGTGCATATCCGATAACCTGGCCACTGTACTCCATGCATTGGCAGTCTTGATACTGGATTACTGTAATACATTATATATGGGGCTGCCATTGGGACCGGTTCAGAAGCTCTAGCTAGTAGCAAATTCAGTAGCTGACTTCAGTGGCTAGACTGTTGATGGGGGTACACAGTCAACAGCATGTTACACATCTGCTGAAACATCTGCACTGGTTTACTCATATGGCTCCAGGTCAGATTCAAGGTTCTTGTGCTATTGTACAACTTGGGTCCAGGGTACCTTAAGGACCATTTGAGCCCTAATATCCAAGCTCAGTCACTGAGGTCATCCAGAGGAGTGTTGTTAGCTGTCTCCCATGTTACAGTAGCCCAAATGGTGGTCATTTAGTGTCACTGGTTCCACACTCTTCCAGCAGAGATTTGGTAGGCATCCTTGCTCATCCTTGCCCTTGAAATTTGGGCTCTCAAATTTCAGCAGACACCAAAATTCAGCACCAGCCCCCTCATCTCTAGCACACCATTCTACATCATAGTTGCGGTGCCCCCCACATCACCCGTGCCCAGTGTGGCCAAACTGGTCTTGCTACCCTAAAACTGCTTCTGTCCTTGCTATTGACTCCTGAAGAACATTTTATGCCAACAGGCCTATGCAGCTGTTTAAACCAGGCATAGGCTAACTGGGCCCTCCAGATGTTTTGGGACTACAACTCCCATCATCCCTGAGCACTGGTCCTATTAGCTAGGGATGATGGGAGTTGTAGTCCCAAAATATCTGGAGGGCCCAGTTTGCCTATGCTTGGTTTAAACTGTGTTGATTAATCATTTTAATGATTATTTTGTATTGTTTTTATGATATTTAATGTTTTATTATATATATTATTGTTTTATGCCACTTTGATACTATATATGAGCTGATGATATATAAATACTTTTATAAATAAGTAAATAAATAAATAAAAGGTGTCACCCTCACGTACATTGTGAAAATGCAAGCAGAAGAATGATAGAGTGAATGCAGAAATCAGCCTGAGTCTCACAGAGTTCAGTGGCATCACCCTTGAGCAAGTAATGTGCAAGACAATTCATGAGTCAATGCAGCAGCAACAGGGGTGCCACCTGGGGGGCGGGGGTCTGATGGCTTCCAAATTTTCAAGGGGGCGGGCCCCTCAAAATTCCACAGCAGCCCATTGTGTGGCGTGCGCGAGAGACATTATCACATTGAGTGGTGTGTGCGCATGACGTCAGCACGGCATATGGCGTGGGCTCTCTCAGTCACGGGGGCAAGGCAGTGTTGAGCAGCATAGTTATTCTATCCTGGAGCTGAAGGGACACATTCAATATCCACCCCCTTGCACAATGGAAATAGGCATGTGCAGCAGGACTTTCCATTTCTCTTCTCCTTACAGATCATCACATGGACTCAGAATCTACTCTGGATTTTGGGGGGACTGCAGGGGGGAAGAGAGGAAGGAGCCACATTGTACGAGCCTATACCCACTCATGCTACATTGAATCTTACTTCAAAATTTAGAATTCTTTATAGTATATTCACAATTTCATACCAAGTCATCCTGCTAGGGTCTCCCACTCCAGATATTGTTGGACTCCAGTTTCGCTTAGCTCCAGTAAACATGGCCAATGGTCAGGGCTGATGGGGGCTGTGGCGTGGAAACATCTGGAGGCCTCCCCCATAGTAAGGGATGTAATCTGAAATTGGAGTAGGCATTTATTATAACTGTTAAAACCACTGGGAAAGTGAAATAGGTGAGGTTAACACTTTTTCACTATGAGGTCAGTATTTCCTGTGCTGCGGTGACTTAGAAAAAAACCAAAGCATTCGCTTCAAACAAATGTAGCACCACAATGTCCTTGGTATGCTCAGTCATTTATGAATGTGTTTATAAGCATAGTTATTTCTACTTCCCTGATAAAAGCATAAATGTACAAAAGTTACTATTGTTTTTGCATATTGCACCAGTAATACAGAGCAGAATTTCATACAGGAAAACATCTTTCAGACCTGGATGGGGAAAATTTCTCAGCCACAGGGTCACATTCTTTGTGGCTAACCTTCCAGAGTTTATAAGCTAGTAAGGGGACAGGCTCTGGAAATTTTGGCTGTAGAGACCCTGCTCATTGGAGCTATGAGGAAAAACAAGCTTTGCAAGTATGTGTTTATAGCTGTACACTGACATAGCAATAAAACCAGGTCACGCAACCCTCTCGTTCCCAAGCAACCTCAAGTTCTGCTGGTTCTCACAAGAGAGTTGATGTGAGCAATACGTGAACACTTAAAGCACCTTTTAAATTTCAAGAGTGGTCACAGTACACGGAGCTATGACATCCCTCCCCTTGATGCTGCAATTAGACTTGACATCATTAAATTTCCCATTGCAGCAAATCCAAACCGTTTTTTTTAAAGCCTAGCTGTTTCACGAGGGAATTTTTTTTAAAGGGTGGAGCTTCAGACAGGGAGGGTAGCTCTGATGCTTGAAGTGTTCACGTCTTGCTCACATCAACTCTCTCGTGAGAACCAGCAAAACCTGAGGTTGCCTGGGACCGTACTATCTCAGCCAGAACAAGAGGCAGCTGCAGCCTTATTGTGCTCACGCGCCTCCCCAGAGAAGGGACTCTCCAGCCGAAGAGTCCGGAGGCCGCCCCTTTCCAGCCACCCCGCCCCTCCGTGGGAGCCCGGCTGGGTGGGTGGGACTTTCTCCGAGGGAGCGGCTCCAGCAGCGGAAGTGCGGAGGCGGCCAACGGTGCTTTCTGGCCTGCCGCGGTTTGTTGTGGTTCGGGGTGAGGACAATGGGGCCGGCGGAGCTCCTGGTCGCCCTGGCGGTCTTGCCGTGGGCCTTCCGCGGCCGGTCTGGCGCGCTGGCACTGCCGGAGAAAGGTACCGTGGGAGGGGAACGGGTCCGGCCTCTTCCTGAAGCGAGGCGCCGCCCGAGCCTGGCGCATTGTTCAGCGCGGCTGGCTCCGCGAATTCGACTCTTAGGGATTCCTGGATTAAGAGGCCTGGGCTATGGGTTTTAGGATCTGGTTTCTGGAATGAGTTTTCCGGTATGCCAAAGCTCGGTTGGCTCAGCGCTGGTCATTTTTGCTCGCTTCTGGTCTTGGCGGCGGCGCGCCTTCTCCACGCTTCCCTCTTTGGATTTTACGCGTGGTCCGCGCGTAGGTTAAGTATTTCGAAGGAGGCATCATCTCCAGTTACTGATCTTCGTTGCAAAGTCGACCGGGCACTTTGAAACACACGGGAAAGCCCCCTTTTGAAACAGGCCCATTCGTAATGGGCTGCCCAAAAAATATGGGGACGTTATTTATCCGCGTCAAATTTATTTATTCATTGCGTTTTTATATCCCACACGTTGCGTGTGCGCCGTTCATGTACCCTGGTATCAGGTATGCACGAAAGACATTATGCCCACCCCAACGCCATTCTAGGCTTCGAGTGAGTCAGGGTTTGTTAGAACTGATTGTGAGGCCTCAAATCCGTACAGCCGAATACAGTATACTGTACTAAGTTGATCTGCCTTGCCAGCCAGCACTGCATTTACTTCCCACATATTGTCAAATATGCAGCTAGTGCTTCCAGGTCACAGAGTTTTAAGTGACTTTAGACCCCTGCTTGTGTTTGGCTCTTCTGTAAGGCTTTGTGATTTGGAAAATGTTTGTGATTTTCTTTTTTCATCCTGTATTGCATTATAGAAGAAGTAGGTTCTCTGGTGCTTATTCATACAAGGAAGTAGATAAGGAAGTTGATTCTTGTATTTTAATATTTTGCTGGAAGCCGCCCTGAGTGGCAGGGGAAACCCAGCCAGATGGGTGGGGTATAAATAATAAATTATTTATTATTAGAGTTAAGCAACATGGTATAAGCAGATTTACTTAAGTTACAGTAAATATGCCACATAGCATGTGAGTTGTATGCCCAACTGTGTTGCCTGGATTTTTGTTGCTATAGGTGAGGCAATTTTCAGGCAAAATCTTCCATAACTCAGAAGATCTCTTTTTGCTGTGCTGATCCACAATGAAGCATTCTGTGATAAATTCCCAGTTCATGCAGATTCTACATTGTATTTTTTTAAATAAAAGTATTTATCTACCGCTGTATCATGTATCACAACAGTTTGCAACAATATAAAAGCATGCAATGAATCCATTAAAAAAATACTGTAGAACAAAGGACCTGGTTAGTGCCCAATATTAACTGTTGCTTACACTCAAACTAGCACACCATAACCTGCAAGGGGTCTGTGATTGAATTGTGAGAAATTTTTGCCAAAAGGCCACACTCAGTGGCTTCTTTTATTAGTTTTCCGATTATAACCCAATTATACAATACCAATTAGTTCCAAATTAATACAATTTCATTAAAGTGAGAACTCTTAAATTGGGACAGGGCCAGTCATGGAAGTCAAATGTGTTCAGCGTAATATATTTCAGTGCTATTCTTTTTGTTATTAGAGTGAATGGCAGTCTTTAACTTAATATGAGAGAAAGTAAAGTGAACCTACCCTTTAGTTTATTTACAAATGCCCCAAGTCCTAAATTTTCCAGCCATGCATATTTTTATTGTGATGTGGCCTTTAGCACTGTATTTGCTGTGGATTTTTTGCTCCCAAACTGGCCGTGCAAAAGGCTGTTAGTGCTTAGGTATGAATCATTAGGTATATCAGTGTGATATTATGTCACCCTTTGTCATAGCTGTCAACGTTTTCCTTTTTTTAAGGGAAATTCCCTTATTCCGAATAGGATTCCTCGCAAGAAAAGGGAAAAGTTTACAGCTATGCCCTTTGTTGACCTAATGTTTCAGACTACAGTTCCCATTAGCCACAGCTATTACAGCTGTGCTGGTTGGGCTGATGGGAGGAGTAGTCCAAAAGCACAGAGGGCACGACATTGGTAAAGACCATATTAGGCGTATAAAGTTATAGATTAATCAGAGTAACACCTGGGTTTGTTTGCTCATGCTGGTGCATGTGATCAAGGGATACATGGGGCTACCTTTGAAGGTGACCTGGAAACTACAGAATGCGGCAACTAGACTGGTGACTGGGAGCGGCCGCCGAGACCATATAACACCGGTCCTGAAAAATCTTCATTGGCTCCCAGTACATTTCTGAGCACAATTCCAAGCGTTGGTGCTGACCTTTAAAGCCCTAAACGGCTTCAGTCCTGTATACCTGAAGGAGCGTCTCCACCCACATCTTCTAGCCTGGACACTGAGGTCCAGTGCTGAGGGCCTTCTGGCGGTTACCTCGCTGTGAGAAGTGAGGTTACAGGGAACCAGGCAGAGGGCCTTCTTGGTAGTGGCGCCCACCCTGTGGAACACCCTTCCTTCAGATGTCAAGGCAATAAACAACTATTTTACTTTTAAAAGACAACTGAAGGCGGCCCTGTTTAGGGGAGTTTTTAATGTCTGAGGCTGTATTGTTTTTAATATTCAGTTGGCAGCTGCCCAGAGTGGCTGGGGAAACCCAGCCAGATGGGTGGGGTATAAATAATAAATTATTATAATATTATTATAGGCATGGACTGAAGCATAGTTAAGCAGGGATGTGTGCAGGGGTGAGGCAGCAGAGTAGATGTGCACTTTTGCTCTCTACACCTGTGCTCTGGGGCGGGGGGGGCACACAGTATTGATATGGGGCCTTCAGCAGTTGTACAGTTGATCCAGACAATGATAATCAATAAATCTTGGACTCTGCAAGTTAAGCACACTAGGCTGCTAAACTAACTTGTCCATAAAGGTCACTTAAAATCAGCTGGCCCTGGACCCATGAAATGAATGTAAACTCTTTCTTTTCACAATACTTCTGAATTCTAAAGATAAGTAATTAGTGTTAACCTATTGAATCAGTCTAGTAAGATTTCGACACATCCTCTGTATCAGGAATAGCTAACTCACAGGCTGCCTCTGTTCCACCAAGCAGCCTTTTGCGGTCTTTAAGACCCTCAAATTTGTCATCTGTTGTTGTTCTAATGTGCTTTTAGTTTGTTAATTTTACTCATGTGGGTTTCCTACTGTGATGCCATGAGCTCTCCAAAATTTGTCAAGATTTTAATTTTTTGATGAGTGCTTCCATAGGTCTCCTGTGACACTGATTCCAAAAAGTTGTTTGTGAGTCCCCAATGGGCCCACTAAATTTGATACTGTATTTAGAAAATAATACTGACTACTACTGTGATGCCATGATGTCAGATTTGTGTGTCTGTGTGTGACATCTCTAAGATACCTCAAATTTTTTATTCCATATGAATTTAACCAGGAAGGATAAAAATTGATTTAAAATAGTGTAGTCTTTTGGAAAGAAGCTTTTAAAACTGTTCTCACTATGGCCACTTTTGCATTTGGGCTGCCATGTTCATCTTGACATACATGCTCTGAAGAATTGACTATGGTTCAAGGTGGCCTTTGGCTCTTTAGGAAGGCATGAGGAACAGATGTGGAGCAAGTATTTGAAGAGGCACTCGGGAAATCTCTTGGAACTCTAGTTGCGTATTTTCTGGAAATATGTTAGAGATCCCCAGCTTAGTATTGTTTAGCAGCTGGTGTGCTTGTAGCTGCAAAACAATTGTGTAACTCAAGTTTGGAAGGCCTCTAAGGAATAGTTGTTTACTAAAAGCTAGGAACTTTTAGCTTCACATAGTGCATCGTCCTGAGTGTGGAAAGGATATTGTCAGCTTAGTGAACTGTCCTTTTCTTCCTTTTGCTTACACTCCTGAAAAGTTTAAAAGATGGCTCCATGATAGAGATAAGTATTATGTTGCCTGCTTTAATGAAAGGCAGATTATCTCTATAACTAAGTAAAATGTATCTTCCCTTTTATCCAGTGGAAGACTCAAAGGCATTCATTTGGAACTTAAAATGTTGCACCTACATTGCACAATATGAGTAAAAACATAACTTGTGGGTGCCAGTGCAAGAGGAAGTCCTGGCTATATTTTACAGTTGTAGATGAAGCATCCTGTGGAGTTTAACAAGGGTATCCACTGTGTGCAAAAACCCTGCAAGGGGTCTGCCCAAATACCAGGAAGCAGCAGGAGTCAGGAGAAGTTGTATTTGTTCATGAGCTACAGAACAGCAGCTCAGCATAGCAGGCAAGACTAAGATGCTTACCCATTTCTACTGAGCTATGGAGGGAACTACATCAAGAGAGGGGAGGGGTGTTCCTGTCACAGACTAGACCTGTCTCTTAATGAGAAAGGCCTCACTCACTACACTAGAAGTGGCTAGACCAGGTGGCTTAGCAGGATTATTAGCCCTGGTTTGTCATGATGTACAGAAAGTTTTGTGGGAAGAAATTGGAAGAAAATGTTGAAATATAGGAAATAGGTAAAAACAACTAGGGAGGGAAATGAGGCTATTAAAAAGTACAATATAACTTTAAGAACGAAGTTTGGTCCCCACCCCCCCAAAAAAAAACATTTTTCCTCAGGTCATGTGTTTTAGATCATATGCCTGAAACAAGGTTGAGCTTACAGCTGGTTTTTTGTTTTTGCAAGGTGTTCTGGGAGCCTCTCTCTCTCTTACTAAAGTGGAGCGTATAAATAATTTAAATTTGGGGTGGTTTTTAGTAGTTAATTCATAGTGAGGGAAGTAGCTTACCAACCTCAAGCTCTCTGTGCCACCTTGGTTCATGCAGGGTGGTACAATTTTTGAAGGCTGGTATCATTGCAGAGCTACAGTTGGTATATTTGTAGAAATTTTCACTTGAATTATCACCTCATTAGACTTACTGACATGCGTCCTGAAATGCATAGAAAGTGGGCTGAATGCACGCAGGACAGACCTCCTTTGCTTCCGTGCATTTGACATAAGGTCAGAATAAGCTGTAGGTGCCCACATCCTCACATGCAAACCCCTCCATCCAGATTTCAGGCATAGAGGTTGGACATTTCCTACATGTATAGGAATGCACATGTATGTGACATGTGGGAGGCTGCAGAAACACACATGGCAATTCTGCTGTCCACCCCACCCCTGGTGTGTTCTGTTTATATCCTTCTGCTAGAATTATAAATAGTCATTTGGTTGGCTGTTTTCAAAATTCATTTAATTCAGTTGCATCAAAGCAGTAATAATCTTTGCCTTTTCAGTGCCTTCACCAAGCAATATTGTCATAGATTCGTATAATTTCAACACCTCTGTTCGGTGGGATTACAAAAGTGTGTCTTCAAAGACTCTCTTTACTGTGAGCATCCTGTGCTATGATAGGTAAGACTGTTTTGACTTTGTACCTCCCCCAAATGTTTGTTCGTTCAATGCTGTCTTCTAATGAATCAGCAGATTAACAAAAATAAACTTTTTTTGCAATTTTATCACACTTTATAAATTTGAATATGAACTTCGAATGTTTTCTTTTTTTTTTACATAGGGCTGGTGACGTGGAAGTTGATAACTGTGTAAACATAACACAACACTATTGTGATATCACCCACGAGGTTGATGAGTCGTGTGATACGTTCTGGGTGAAGGTTAAAGCTCTTAATGGACTGCATGAATCTGACTATACACGTTCAGACCGATATCATGTGTTCGAGAATGGTAAGTTGTTGTTGAAATATGTAAGGTTTCTAGATCTTGAGTGTGGGCTATCCTTTGCAATGGGGCTAGGGAATCTCCAGGCTGCAGGGCAATCAAGGGCTCACATGGGGGTTCAACTTACCCCACAAGGTTGCAGTTTGCAGGTGCTCCCGTATTTGACATGGTCACTGGAGGCTAAGGTGGCATTTTTTTCCACTCTAGCATGTTCACCAGCTACGATCCCTTTTGGACAAAGGTGATCTGGCCACTATACTCCATGCTGTGGTAATTTCCAGATTGGATTACTGAAACGCGCTCTACTTGGGGCTACCCTTGACGACTCAGAAACTTCAGTTGGTCCAAAAGGCAGCAACCAGATTACTGACTGGGATTCCATTTAGATCTCATACAACTGTGTTTTAAAACAGTTGCAGTGGTTCCCAGTTTGTTTCTGGGCCCAATTCAAGGTGCCACTCACATTGCTGTTTAAAGCCCTAAACAACTCAGGCCCCCAATATCTGAAAGACTGTCTCCTTCCCTACAGACCCTCTGTGGTGCTGAGACCAGCAGAAAAGGCCCTCTTGGTAGTTCTAAGGCTTGGGAGGGCAGCCAGGAGAGGGCATTCTGTGTGGCAGCCCCTAAGCTGTGGAACTGCCTACTCACACAGGTGTACCTCGCACCTTCATTGTACTGTTCAAACACCTGCACCTACAGGTGTTTTCAGGACCCACCTTATTTTTATGGTTGTGGATTGTTTTAAATTGTCTGTAATGTTGTTTTAATGTTGTAACCCATCCTGGGACCTTAAGGTGAAGGGTGGGTACTACTACTACTACTACTACTACTACTACTACTATTTTCCCCAAACCACACCTAGCCAAACATCAACTGTTACTGATTATGCCAGCTGAAGGGCAGACAGTCAGGGTTTAATACTTCACTGTTTGTCAAGTTCCCAGCAGGGAGCAAGATCACAGAGCAGGATTAAATCTAGTTATAGGTAGGTAGCCGTGTTGGTCTGCTGTAGTCGAAGTAAAATAAAAAAAATTCCTTCCAGTAGCACCTTAGAGACCAACTAAGTTTGTTATTGGTATGAGCTTTTATTGGTATCTGAAGAAGTGTGCATGCACACAAAAGCTCATACCAATAACAAACTTACTGTAGTTGGTTTCTAAGGTGCTACTGGAAGGAAAATTTTTATCAGGATTAAATCATCACTCATCTGAGTGAGAAAGCCAGTGCTTTTTTTCTAGAAAAATAGGTGCCGGTACTCACCATGAAGTTGTTACAGTAAGTGCCACACTTTTTAACAACAACAAAAGTGCCAGTACTGGGTACCCTGAAAATAATAATAATAATAATAATAATAATAATAATAATTAATTTATACCCCACCCATCTGTCTGGGCTTCCCCAGCCACTCTGGGTGGTTTCCAACAAAATATTAAAATACAGCACTGATTGTCTGAAAGCAGCTCTTGTACACAACCTTTTGAAAGAGCTCTTTGTGTACGAGAGCTGCTTTCTTTTGAAAGCAGCTCTTGTACACAACCTTTTTGAAAGAGACTTCTGCAAAGGCTTTAAGCCTGTCCCTGCTCTCCAGGTTGAGCCCCTCCAAAGGGGAGCGGCTGTCTTAAAGTCTTTTGTAAATCTCCCTCTTTTAAGTACCCAGTCTCGGAGGCTAAGAAGTGAAGTGCAAGGTGACTTGGAAAATGGTTTGCAAGTCTCCTTTATTCCCCTCTGAGATCAGGAACGTAAAGCGGGGAGACTCACAGAGCCCTTTGCAAGGCTTCCCTCGCTCCCCTTTTAAGCCTCCAAGCTCAGGGGCGTAAGAGTGGAGCATGGGGAGTAGGCCTGGGTGATAATATTGATTTATCGCCCAGGACCGGTATGAGGAGCAGACCACAATGTTGGTTTCACTTAGTGGTATATCGCTGGTGAAACCGCCACCACTCCTGAGTCCCTCCGCTAACAGCGTCCACTGGAGGGAGTCAAGAGTTCCTTCCTCAAGCGGGCACTGCTTGTTCCTCCCTCTGCATTTTAAACTGCTCCACTAAGGAGTGTGCAGCTGCCCTTGCCTCGGTTCAGCAGTTAAAGGAGCCCCCAGCCTGGCAAGCCAGCGGTGGGGTGGAGGCTCTGAAACTGCTCCGCTGAGGGGAGCGCAGTTGCCACTCCTCAGTTGAGCAGTTTAACATTCCCCCCCCCCCCATATGAGACAGCCCTGGTGCTCTCGCAGCTTGCACATGAATGGCAAGAGCACCGGGGTGCTTTAACTGCTCGCTGTGGGGAGCAGCAACCCTCTCCCCACAGCTGAGCAGCGCATACAAGCTGCGTTGTCCCAGTCTGCAAGCCTGGGTGAAACTGCCTCAGCTCTTGCCAGCGCATCTTGTTTTTTCATCATCCTGGTATATCGCCAAACCCCGCATTGTTTGGCTGGCAATACACCGTGATGTCGAAAAGCTGATATCGCCCAGCCCTAAGGGGGAGATGTGTGTAGCACAGGTGAGCAGCCTATGACAAATAGTACCTGCCTCCAATTAAAATGGCTTTGTTAATGCTCCAATTATGATTCATGTGGGATAGCTTCACAATTTCCATACTGAATATCTTCACGGGTTGTTGATTCTCTCTATTGATTATCATTTTAATTATTTCTGTAGTACTTCACAGAGTTAAAAAAATGTATAGTTATTATTCTTGCAGCACAGCACTTTGAGGTATATTAAGAGAGTGGCATGGCCCAGGCAGCCTGATTCCTACATACAGTAGAATTTTAGCCAATACAAATGGGCTGAGGGTTGCGTTCTGTCCACAAGTTGTTCCCCAGATAAGATCTGATGATTCACCCATACTGCTTCAATACGCTGATAAATGTTTAAAGCTGTCTGTAGCTAACTTTCTTGCATTGCAGTACTGTGAACTGTTTGATATTAATAGGAAAAGTTTAACTGTTTCAGGCCGAATAGCACCACCAAAATTTAATATCTACATTAAGAGTCATCTAATAATAGTTGTTACTGAAGTTCCTCTCACTCCATATGGCAAGAAGTTCCCACTTACTTTAAGGGCAAACATCACAGACTTCACCTCCAGAGTGTTCCTTTGGGAAAAAGGACACCCGAAAAAGGTAAATTTAAGACTATGAACTTCTCTCCCTAATGTAGAGGCTGTTTTTGATGTGATGCTCAGAGAACAATTTCAGCATAGTTCTGATGAGCTTCAGTTCACCAGCAGGCACATGAAGTATATTCCACACATTTTTTAGGAAACTGGAAGTTGCCTAATGGCTGGACTTCTGGGTGTGCTTTGTTTCCTGTTTCCTGCTGTATGCTTAATATTCTTGAGCTGTGAAGGGACATCCTGTTTTTCTTCTTGATATTAGCATGGGGAAGGTAAAGGCCTGAAAAAAAATGTGTTTCTTTCAAAGTGTGTGCTTGCTTCTCTCAATCTACAAGTGTACCACTGATAGCACTATTTCCCCTTAAGGGCATAGTTGGCCAGATTTCTTTTTGATAAGTGCTGCAAACCTCAACGACATAAATTCACATGATTGACCTGTTCATTTATGCTGAAGCACTGACAGTTTTGCAGTGACAGTTGGAATTCTTTACCCAAGTCATTCCTGTTACTTACTGTGTTCAGAAGCTGTGTGTGTGTCTCTGAATCAGGAGTACAGCATAGAGATTTTAATGGACAATCTCATGTGCCCTAAGTCTGTTCAATGTGCTACTCATCACAGCAAGACAATTTAAAACAATACATTGAAAACAATTTATGTTAAACAGGTTTCTAAGTATTGTGTACATTAGGGTACAGTTAAAGTTTCAGTTTCCACATTTTTTTCAAGAAACAAAGCTTTATCTCTTAGAGTACTGATGGTTTAATTGTGCTACAGCAGTAACAATAGTATATAGTGTCTTTTAAAATAAGGTAGTAATTTACCACACCCACACCAACACGCACCTACCTTAACATTTAAAAGAAATCACCAGGGAGGAAGAGATTTGTGAAAATTATGTAGGATCCAGCTGCATATTGCCACTGAAGACCTGGGGCAGTGCTTCCACCTTGGATTAGAATAAAGGTTAAGGTAAAGGTACCGCTGACCATTAGGTCCAGTCACGGACGAGTCTGGGGTTGCACGCTCATCTCGCTCTATAGGCTGAGGGAGCCGGCATTTGTCTGCAGACAGCTTCCGGGTCATGTGGCCAGCATGACTAAGCTGCTTCTGGTGAACCAGAGCAGCGCACGGAAACACTGTTTACCTTCCCGCTGGAGCGGTTCCTATTTATCTACTTGCACTTTGACGTGCTTTCGAACTGCTAGGTTGGCAGGAGCAGGGACTGAGCAACAGGAGCTCACCCCGTTGCAGGGATTCGAACCGCCAACCTTCCGATCGACAATCCCTAGGCTCAGTGGTTTAGACCACAGCGCCACCCGCTTCCCTCTGGATTAGAATAATGAGCACTAAATAATGAAAATGGGGGGAAGCAGAGGAAGAAAGGGACTTGGTGAGGAAGAGAGTGCTAGCAAAATGTTGGGAACAAGTAGGGCCACATTGTGAGAGAAAAGACAAAACAAAGGACAAGAGAATGCAAGCACTTAGAAGCAAAGAGCAAAAGTTTAAAATGAATGTCATAATGAAAGGGGAGCCAGTAAAGAAGACAGAAGTGGTCAGTCCAGGAGGCAGGATGGGCAAAATGAGTAGCAGATTTGAGAATTCAAGATAGAGGGTGGAGAAGAGAATTAAGCATGCCTGGGGAGGGAATTAGGCAAGCTTGATGCTTTAAGTAATAGAGGCAGCATAAAATCAGTATAAACCAATGTTTTAGTTGTAGGAGGAGAAAGAATGAAATTTGGAAATATTCAGCAAATGCAGGATAATGTAATGGTAAAGAAGAAAAGACAGGAATTTCTGTCTCTTTTTTAAATAGACTTTTTAAAAGAGACAGTAATAATGGAACTAAAGAGGAGGAGCGGTAAAGAGGAGGAACTATAAATTCGATATATATTTATTAGTTATTTCATTTGAAACAATTGGGAGGCAGGGCGGAATCCCAATATGTATTTTCATGTATCTAGGTATATGCCCCACAATATGTTGGTCATTGATCTAAAGATACCGCAAGTCTCTTGTTCTAACACTGTGAGGCTAAATCAGTGTTTCAGTGAAAGAGAAGACAGTTGATGAGAAACAATAACATGGTTCTGTTAAGCAAAAAAACCCCAATAGCTTTTAAGAGCACAAAGAGGGATACTGCATATTGAAATAGCAATGAGGTTAGAGAGAAAGGAAGAATGTGGACCAGGACCCTGATTAGTTGAAACACCACTGACAACGGAAGTAGGAATGGAGGTGGAGGGGAAGACAGAGGAAAGGGGGAAATGAGAAAATTGATTGCATCATGTTAGGAACAGGGAAGTAAACCACATACAGTATAAATCATGCAGTGGGGAAACAGAGATGGATAATCTGACTAATTCTAAGAACATGGAAAGAAAAATCTGGTTGTATCATGGAGCCCATAAAAAAGGCTTTTTCCATTCTGCAAATCTTCAGTAGCAAATTAGGTTGTTAGTAGGCAGTGTTTAAATCAGCTGGCAGCCCCCTTCCTGTTTCCTTGCATATATTGTATTTACATAAACAAGTGTAACTTTTTAAAAAAGTTTTTTTGTTATTTACAGCGTCAAAAATTTGAGGCAGAGGACATATGTAATGACACATCATGTACCATATCTATTCAAGTTCCTTCTTTGGAAAGCTTGTATTGTGTTTCAGTTCAAGGATTTTCAGAAGAGTTTGCCATTCAGAGTGAAGAATCTGAAGAGAGGTGTATTGACAGTCCTCCTAAACACTCATCAGGTAAATAAGTTAATTCTTCATTATTTTGAAAGCCTCATAATCTGCAGAGCAGAGGATCATACAGAGGCACCAGGACAGGGGTGGGGAACCTTTACGGCTCTATGGGCCATAGTCTTAACAAAATCTGCCTCATAACCCAAATTGGACAGGTTGGCAAGCCGGCTACCCCTTAGTCACCTGCCATCATTGTGATGTCACATGATTGACTGGGTGGGGGTGGACTGCAGCCTCCACATCTTTGCAAAAACAGCCTCTTTCCTCCTTTACTTAGAAGTAACCACCACTGAATTCAGTGGTTACTGTGGTCACTCAGCTTCATAATTTGGAGTAGAGGAGGATCACAACTTTCACAGGGGTTAGGTTCAGATATTGTACATATAGTCAAAACTGTGTGTAGCTAGAACAACCCTGGAATCACTCCCACCTGACCATCCCTGCCTTTCCAGTGCTGGCACACTGTGTAGGTCTTGCCTGCAACGCAGGGTGTCGGGAACCTCTCAGAACCCAGTAAGCAAGGCAGAGGGCTTAAAGGTGCTTTCTGCACCAGCACTTTTCAGCTCTCTGCTTTGCGTGCATTTGTGTGACCACGGGTGACCAGCCACCAGGTGCATAAAGCTGCGATCGTGCAAAGTAAGTGTGTGCAAGTTGCAAGTTGACTGTGCTTGCATAGTTGCCATTCTGTCTAGATTCACAGGTGCTAGTTCACCTTTTTCTGACTGCTCCATCTTTATAACCTCCAGCTGTTCAACTGCTGCAGTTATGGGACGGCCCACAAACACATCCAGGGAGTTCTGTGTTTCAAAATGCAGCTTCCTGGTTCCTAATTTGTGAGAGGGAACCCAGGATGTCAGTCTAGCTTCTTCAGAATCATTCTCCCACCCACACCTTCAGTAGAATTCCCAAGCTAGAAATGCTACATACAGTAGTTGTACCTTGGTTTTCAAACAGCCTAGTTCTTGAACGTTTTGGCTCCCAAACGATCAAAACCCAGAAATGACTGTTCAAGTTTTTGATTGTTCATTTGGAAGCTGCACGTCTGACAGGGCTTCCGCAGCTTCTGATTGCCTGCTTCCTGCAGGCAATCAAAAGCCACGCTTTGGTTTTCAAACGTTTTGGAAGTCGAATGGACTTCAGGCACGGTGTGTGTGTGTGTGTGTGTGTGTGTGAGAGAGAGAGAGAGAGAGAGTGTGTGTGTGTGTGTGTGTGTGTGTGTCCGTCCGTCTATGTCTCCAGATTGTGCTCCAGGCTGTTTTATAAATAGCTCTGCGCTGCCAAGGAAGGACCTGTTAATTTACTGAAAAATATCTGTACTACTTTGAAATGTGTAGCATACATATATGTGTGAATTAATAGTATTAGACCCAATGCCTTGTTATTGTATCAAATGTCTCTCTCTTTAATTTTGTAGATTTAACAGTGCCTATAACTGTAGGTGTTCTTGGATTTCTTCTTTTGGCGGGAATCCTTGCAGGAATCTACACATGGTTCAGTAAAAAACAGAGAACAATTAAACTTCCTAAGTCTCTGGTAAGTTCTCTGTAGGAGCCTAAAGCTCTTTTCTTCATATGTTGTTGTTGTTGTTTAGTCGTTTAGTCATGTCTGACTCTTTGTGTCCCCATGGACCAGAGCACGCCAGGCACTCCTGTCTTCCACTGCCTCCCGCAGCTTGGTCAAACTCATGCTGGTAGCTTTGAGAACACTGTCCAACCATCTCGTCCTCTGTCGTCCCCTTCTCCTTGTGCCCTCAATCTTTCCCAACATCAGGGTCTTTTCCAGGGAGTCTTCTCTTCTCATGAGGTGGCCAAAGTATTGGAGCCTCAGCTTCACAATCTGTCCTTCCAGTGAGCACTCAGGGCTGATTTCCTTCAGAATGGATCGGTTTGATCTTCTTGCAGTCCATGGGACTCTCAAGAGTCTCCTTCAGCACCATAATTCAAAAGCATCAATTCTTCGGCGATCAGCCTTCTTTATTGTCCAGCTCTCACTTCCATACATCACTACTGGGAAAACCATAGCTTTAACTATACGGACCTTTCTTCATATATAATGTCTTAATAGCAAACAGACTCAAATTTTATTTTGTTGGTTCTCTTATAAAACTTACATGCTGCTTTATAGCTTCAAGAGACTCCCAAAGAGGGTTGCAAAAGTTTTCAAAATACAGTCAATACACAGTTATAATATTATGCACTATGCAGCATTTGCTAGAACACATTGAGTAAGGCATAGGCAAACTCGGCCCGCCAAATGTTTTTTGGGACTACAATTCCCATCATCCCTGACCACTGGTCCTGTTAGCTAGGGATGATGGGAGTTGTAGTCCCAAAACATCTGGAGGGCTGAGTTTGTCTATGCCTGGAGTAAGCGAGGACTGCTTTCTTCCTAATAACCTCTGCTGTTCAGGCCCAAAGCTGAAAAAAACCTTCTGCTGCTGGTATAAAACGCTTTGACGCAGCACTGACAAAAATGTTGAGCCCGAGTGACTATTAGATGGTAGCAGCGGTGTTCAGAATGCAGTGTCCATGGCATAGCACTGCATTGTGGGGAGATTAGAAATGCTGTCAGCAAGTTCAGCCACATGGGGCCCTGTGCACATCTTGGTCCCTGTGGTGCCTGACACAACCTGGCAGTATTAGTAGTCAAAAGCAAAGGCCTCCACAGCCAGATTCACTGGTGTGGCGACCATTTTAACTTTTATGGCATTTATCCCACTTTTTGGTTTTAAATATCCAAATACACATTTATGTTCAAATGATGAATAAAAGATTGCAATGCATCATATCAATTTAAGCAAAACATAAGATTGAGTTTTTTATCTTGAAATCTCATATTCCAGTGATTTATGAACTCCCATCTTTCAGTAAGCTTATGGATTACTTGGACTTCCTTACTCCTCTTACAATTTTTATAGGGCTATAACTAAACACGGGAGCTGTATGACAAATTTATCACATATTTTATTATGACTTATTTGTGTTGGACCGGATTATTATATTTTGCTCTTTCTTCAGCTTGTAAACTGCCTTGTGCATAGCAATATAGAAAGGCGGTATAAAAATTAAAAGTGAAATGAAATGAAATGAAGGACAGGGAAGAAGCTGAAAGATGAGCAAACTGATGCACTCCCATGTGTTCATGCATGCTAAAACGGATGAGAAATGGGCTGTGTGTTATCTTTTGTTTCCAAGGAAAATAACTTGCCACTAATTTTTTCATTTCCTTTTTCGTTTCTTAAGGCTGCTGTGGTAAGAAACATGAACCCAGTCAACTTTGACCCCAGACCAGAAGGCAGACACGCTGTTCTTGTAACTGAACCAGACATTAAGCCAGAGTCAGATCCCTCAGGAGAGGCCACTGGCCTCAGTGACTCTGACCAAGAAGCAGATACACTTCACTCTCAGAGATCTTCAAGTCTCCATGAAGGCATTATTGTGGAAATCTCTGAAGGTGAACAAAGTGCCGAAGAGAATGAAAATTATTTTAGAGACGTCAGTGGCCAAGAAGAGATGTGTAGCAGTGTTCCAAATCTGGATCTTCCCAATGCAGATGTGGAACAACCCACACTCCCAGATAGCTGCAGAAACATTTCTGGTTATGACAGGCGTTGGCTTCCTCCTGATGTGGAAGAATGGCTGAAAACACAGAGTTCCAGTGACACACCAGAAGCCTAAGAGGTCCGTTTCTCAATCTGAGAACATTGTAAAAGAGAGAGAGAGAAGCAATTACTTTTGACTGTCACAAATATCCATTGTAAAGGTTTATAAGCACTTAGGGTTATCTGAAGTATTCTGCTATAAATTTGAAGAATTGTAGAGTTGGAAGGAAGACTGAGGGTCAACTGGTCCAACCCCCTGCAATGCAAGAATCATAATCTTTTGCTACCCCCACTGTGGGAAGCAGTATGCTTTTTTGAATACTGGCTGCAGGAAACCTCAGGATGTGAAATGCTGTGTTTCAGGCCCTGGTTGTGTGCTTCCTGTAGGCATCTGCTTGGCCAACTAACTGTGAGAACAGCATTCAGACCTAGATGGATCACTTGCTGCAATTTTTTACTTCTCATAATATATGTTTTTATGATTTATGATGTGAAATTTGAAACTATGATTTCCCAATCCTACAAAAGGTATGTTGCAAGCTAACACTCACATATTTAAGAGTAAGCCACATTGAATCTCATACTTCAAAGAAGACCTGACAGTTTTATTATAACCAAAGACTTAGTTTAACTGTACAGCTACACACACACTTCTAGAGAAGGGCTTTAGCTAACTTTTCTAATAATAGCTATATAGATACAGTTAAATAAGTTTCCATAAATATCCTCAAGCATTAATTTGTACCCGCCGCACCAACATGCTTGGGCCTTGGTCTGTGGTCAACTGATTTTAATGCCCCTCTATCTGGATACCTTCCCCTAACTGTGTAGAGAAGATCTTTTCCGGTCTAGTGTAGTTCGCTCTTCCTTTTCTTTGGACTGAGAGTTGGAACTGATAAAAACTCTCATCGCCACATAGATGGGTGCAAATACAGGTCGCGTCCCTTGCGACTGCAAAGCCTGTGAGCTACAGCCATGTATAAAATGAAGTGTGTGTGAATTGATAGAAATTACACACACACACCCCTTGTTTGTTCTCAGGTACCGTGTTCACTTCTGAAAGGCATTATTATGAGCAATAGGTTCACATTAATGCCTCTCCCCAAACTGCATTTTCATTTCACCCACTGACAGGGCAGCGTTTAAAAATCTGATACTCATAACAAGACACAGCTCACTTGGAAGTGGGGGGGGGGACCTAATAGAATGACAGTAACACACCAGATGCTCCAGCCTCATAAATTAGGAAAAGATTATGCATAGCCAGCTGTACCATATAAATGCCCAGTTTTTTATACTGCACCATGACTCTTGGTGTTTATCATATGGTCTAGCATCTGGTCAGCCCTGTCCACTTCCTATATATCTGCTCTGCTTTGGGGGTTATTTATATTCAGGGCTTTCTCCCCCATTTGTATTGTTCCTTAGTCTAGTCCACCTATAATAAGACACAAATGTGGGCTGATACGGGAGGGGGAGGGGACCACACAATGTCAAACAGGGACTAGACAGCAAAAAAGGGGAAGCAATGCACTAACTGGCGCCACATGGGGAACTGAATAGACGAAAGTCAGAGGATTTCTGTACAGTCTCCCTTTTTACTGCAGATTCATTGCGTATGTGCAATGCAGTGTATGCTTACCCACTGCAGGAAGAGCTGCTTGACCTTCCTAAACTAATGAACTGTTCAGCAAAATCTTCATTTCTACCTGAGATTATCAAGGCATTTTGGGGCCATCTAAATACTGTTCTGGGTTTTTGAACAACCTACAGATAGGCTGACTCTGCAGAGCCCAAGGCTGAAGCATTCACCCATTCTGCCAGTAGTATGGTGGAGGAGATGTAACCACAGATTGGGAAGTACCTACATTGGGGGGAGGGTGACAAGTGACCATAAGGGCCACAGTAACACTCTCCTGATAGTTAGGCATTCCACTACCTACCCACACAATAAACCTATGATACAGGAAGTGCACTGTTAACTCTGAATTGGCTCCATTAGCCCTCGGTGATGTCACAGTGCCAAATCAGGTGGGTTATTGAGTGTTGGGGATGCCATCGCATCTACATTGTGTTGCCTGAGAGGAAGAAGCGGTTCCAGTGGACAAAGTAAAATATATGCCAAAGCAACTACTGCCCGTTCAGCAGCAAAAGAGTTCATCCTAGTTTCTTTACAAGTGGGTGATTAATATGGTGCCAGTTAAACTTAATGTTTGCAGCTTTTATTTTATTTCTGGTTAGTTCTCTGTTTATATCTGAAAGCCATATCTGTCGTTAGCCTAGGGTTTAGCACTGATCTGTAATGTGTGAGAGCCAGCGTGGTGTAGTGGTTAAGAGCGGTGGACTCATAATCTGGTGAACCGGGTTCACGTCTCCACTCCTCCACATGCAGCTGCTGGGTGACCTTGGGCTAGTCACACTTCTCTGAAGTCTCTCAGCCTCACTCGCCTCACAGAGTGTTTGTTATGGGGGAGGAAGGGAAAGGAGAATGTTAGCTGCTTTGAGACTCCTTAGGGTAGTGATAAAGCGGGATATCAAATCCAAACTCCTCCTCCTCTTCTTTATCTCCCACCTCTCTGTTCTGTGACCAACATTAGCCACAAAGTTCTAAAAATGCTGTGTTTGAATTATGTGCATGGAACTTCTAATCCAAGTTTGTAATGTTAAAGCACTTTTGTACAGATTTGTTTTTAATTACATACATGTTTGTTATAAAAATATATGTGTGTGTCTTTATATTTCTTATTTTCAAAATGACTGTTGGCTAGAAGGCAAAATAAACGTTCCTTCTGGAAGACACCAATTACATAAATATTTCTGCATGGAATTTGTTTTGAAATAAACTTAAAAATGCAGGCACCAAAAAGGAAGAACATCTCGGTACAACAAGATCGCTAATGTAAAGGGGAATGGATGTAACACTTCCGAATAATTCTGGGACACTTAAACAGCCTTAATTCACTAAAAAGTTTAAATCATGGAAAAAATAATGCCAATAGATGGCACTCTTGTTCTGTGTTTTCCAGACTAGCATCTGGACAGTAATTGATTCCAGCTAAGGCAAGGAAGCTATGATTAGTTTCTGTTCTTCACAATAGCTACCTTATAGACATAGTTGATCTAATAATATGCACTAAAATTTTCTGTCTCTGTTAAATTGAAGAAATGTACTTGGGTTCTTTTTCTTTTTTAAATTATACTCAAACACTGCTCAGTATCTTATTTCCTTTTGTCACTTCATATACCATGTAAGCCTCCTGAGCTGTGACAAAAACAGAACTGGAGATTGGAGGGGAGGGCTCTTTCCCCATCAGCAAAGTACCCTTTCGTTTGCAGAGAGCTTCCATCTCTGCAGTATTTTGGAACCTTGGCAACCTAGAGGACTAGCTGCTTTGAATGTAACTATGCCAGTGACCATTGCAAGTTACCAAAAGACCTAGGAAGCTGCCTTCTACTGAGTCAGACCATCAGTCCATCTAGCTCAACATTGTCTACAGGATTTCAAGAGGGTCTCTCCCAGTCCTGCTTGGAGGTGCTGGAGATTGAACCTTGGATCTTCTGGATGCAAAGCACATACTCTGTCACCCTTGCCGATACAGCAGCAAGTGATTCCTTACTGTGACAGAGAAAAGGAAGAAGCCTGAGGCCACACTTCTCCATAGTTGAGAGAGAGAGAGATGTTCTCTCGCTGTCTCCCCGTCCCAGTATGCCAAACAGGTCCAAAGGAACAATTTAGACTGAAGTACAGAGAACAGACTTCATCCATGTAGATCCACCAGTATTGGTGTCTCCTCGGTGGTTATGCCACCTATACCCCAACAATTTAATAAGAATATACCCTGCCATGTCACAGATGCTTTAGCTGAGATTCCTGCATTGCAGGAGGAAAGACCCTGGGTGACCCATGGGATCCTTTCCAACTCTACAATTCTATAACAAGTCAGTATCTTCAGTACCTCCAGCGGAGGGGGGTTAAGAGGGGCATTTGTGCCCCCTTCCAGTTGAAAAATAATCCCCAGTTCCCAGCTTTCATCATTTTATTAAGAGGTTAAGTTTCTGGCATTGGCAGAACCAGAGATCATGCAAAATGTACAGGCATTATTCTCAGTGTTATTATGTGAGAAACTAGCCTGCTCCCCCTTTTTCAAATTCTACTCCACACTCCACACACCCCCAAAATACCCCTGTGGATGCCGATGAACATGGCACCGAATTTTGAAGGCCTGTTGTGCTGGCATTGAGAACCGAGTGGTCTGCTGTGCTTCATCGCTTCCCTGGTTTGGAACACAAAACGTAGTTGAATAAATAATCTAGAGGCACTATCTGGTTTTGGTGTTCATTTTGGCACACTCCCCGATGGCTCAGCAGAAGAACCCACTTAACCAGCTTGGACAAGAGCTAAGTCCTAGGCTTGGTTCTGCTCTTAGAGTTTGCGTATCGTAGGAACAGCTTGGTTATCGGTACAATCAGCATTGTGATTTCTGTTATGGAACTTGCATGCCTTTCCCACGGGGCTCCTAAGGTTTTAAACAGATGTTAAATGGCAGGGTGTGTCAGGCCAACTAAGGTTGCCAAGATGTAACAAGTGCTGACTTACGCCACACACCTTACTGAGAAATACTGGTGTTTTGAAGGCGAAAAATGCCACTGCTCAGTTATGGCACCACAAGTCCAGGCTTGTGGAAGGCAATTGGGGTAAGCCCATAAACCACTTTCTCCTGCAAAGGTAGGCGGGGTGGGAAAAGACTGTCACTGTACACTGCTAGAGTTACAAATCAAGGCTGCAAGTCTACCGTCAGGTTCGGGCAGCCTTCCTCTGAATGCTTCTTCCTGGGGAACCATAGTGGAAGAGGACTCTTGTGCTCTTGTCCTGCACAAGACAGGAGGCAGCTGGTTGGCCACTGTGGAAAATGGGGTGGTGGACACAGACAGGCCTTTGGTCTGATGCAGCAATCATCGAGAATTATACCTAAATTAGCAGTGATACCAAACAAAAACTGGCGAGGCATCAACAAAAAAGAAAAGCCAATAGAATTACAGTGGTACCTCAGGTTACATACGCTTCAGGTTACATACCCTTCAGGTTACAGACTCTGCTAACCCAGAAATAGTACCTCGGGTTAAGAACTTTGCTTCAGGATGAGAACAGAAATTGGTGCTGGGTGGGTGAAGGGTTCAGCACACGATGAGAACCTAGATACATTTTCAGGACACCAGCGTTAAAACACTCCCCCGCTTTGTGTGAGCTCTCTCTCCCCTTGACAGGAAGGTAACAAAATGCACAGAGGCAGCCCATGTTTCTTCACCCAGTTATGAAATGAGAACAACTATATGTGAAATCAACAAAGCGTGGAATTGACCGTCAGATCTCTCCTTATATTCAAATTTTGCTCAGTCAGGGATGGGATGGGGGAGTGAGTAAGGCAGCTCTCCCTCTCTAATTACAAGTGTGTGTATCAATTTATCAGCTTTAAATCATTACATAATGCAGAAAGAACATAATGCATGTTTCTACTCTATATTGAGTAATTTGGCTTGTGAGCACACTACCTGTGTCCCAGAGCCAGAGGTTAATCTCTGTGAGCTAACATGCCTGTTGCATAGTCATGGTGTGGCTTTTAGTTAGGCCTAAGCCAAAACTAGGCACAGTTTCCAGGAATACTCACCATTTTGAGCAGGGCCATTTGAGTTAAGCTCAGAAACTGCATAACTCCTTTCCTTCCCCAAGTCAGGGCACCATAATTTATATATCTGGGTATCTTTCAGGTTGCAGACACAGACTCACTTTTATAGTTTCCAGTCTCTATCAAATGCTATTCATGAAAGAACACATTCACAGTAGCATCATAAAATGCTAGACACAATTTTAGCATTAAAACCCTTCCACAGGCACACTTAAACATGAAAATAAATATTGGGCTGTATTCAGCCAAGTCGTTACTCAGAGTTGACCCAGTGAAATTTATGAACCTAAGTTGTCTCCATTAACTTCAATGGGTTTACTCTGAGCAGGACTAGCATTGAATACCACCCATTGGTTATCCTACATAGAATCCCTGAATTGTAGAGTTGGACGGGACACCAAAGGCCATCTAGTCCAGCCCCGAGCAATGCAGGAATCCTGCCCACAGCCATCCCTGGGTGGGCTCGAACCACCTCTGAATTTGCAGACTGAGTTATTAGTCCTTTAAATTGTACACTACTTTTAAGCCCTACACAACGTGGAGCTAATATACCTAGCATGTCTCCAACTCTGTGTTAAATCAATACAGCACCAATGCAATTATCACAGACAAACTGTCTGTTCATTCACACTTCATATAAATATTCCATTTCATACATCACTCTGTGCTTTGGAGGGGGGCATTCATCTTCCTCTTGCCCATTTGGCTGGTGCAAGGAGTATGTGATAACTTTACAATCAATTTGCCTTTCAAAACAAGAAAGAATCGTTCCCAGTGAACATCTTCCTGCTTTTAATTTTGTTTCAGATTAGAATCTTTACCCTTTTCTGAGACTTTGTCCCTAGTCAGGTGCAATCTAATCCACTACAAATTGATGTGATGCATAGTAGTAATTATTATTATTATTATTATTATTATTATTATTGCTAGAAATACTAGTCTACCTGATGTCTATTGCATTTTCTAATTAAGCCGCTTTAAAACCAGGAGAATTAAGCGTGCTTGTCTGCATGTGCCATGCCTGGAAGAGGAGTGACCCTTAGTGGCAAGACAGCAGTAGTGTACTCATTTCATAACTTTTTTCTCATCTTGATAGGGAAGACGGTCTGCTTTTCTACTTTGTCATAGAAGGGCAGCCTGCAGGTGAATTGTCCTAACTGGATGCTGGGAGGATGACAATTAACACCTGGTCCAGGTATGGTGATGCAAATGAACCCAGACAGTAAAGTTTGCTGGGTGAAACAGATCCAGAGCATGAATCACACTGAGTCTGGCACTCAGGACTGCACACCTGTATGTGCAGCACTGAAATGACAGGCTGCGTCCTTGAGTATGACTAATTACCAGTCTGGGATGGAGTGGAGATTTAATCTACCCTGACCAGGGAGGGGACAGCCTGGGTCCAGGTTACCTGTTTTTCCAGGAAGGTATAGAGTCAAACCAGATGACTGCTTCTCCTTTGTGGCAGACACACCTGAGCTAAAAGTAGTGAGATTACTTGAGCAATTTACTAGCATTTTTTCCCCTATATTGCTCTGAATAAGGGCATCTGACAAAGAACACGTAATCTGACATTTTACTTCTGGTCATTTTACACAGTAGCCAATGCACTAAAAGGTATCCATATTCTGTGCTGATGTGTTTGCTAATGTTTACATCAGGCATGATGGAAGCTGCAGTGCAACACCATCTGGGGGGCTACACCCTCCCCCAATCTCTCGTCTAGATGTCCAGATAAAATAGATACATAAGATATTTGAAAGACATCAAAAGACCATCAGAATGTACTGGTTCCTTACAAATAGCAGGAAGAATGGAAAAATGCAGTGCTTGGCTACAGCCATCCAGTGTCTTTGGCTTGATTTGTTTCTAGTATATCTCAGTGAGACTAATGAGTAAAGAATTGACTAAAGTCATTTCCAACTCCGTGAGAAAACTGAGCATTCAAAAACCTATCAGAGAATGAAGAGTGGCATTAGAATAACAGAATCATGGAATTTTAGAGTTGGAAGGGACCCCGAGTATCATCTAGTCCAGGCTTCCTCAACCTTGGCCCTCCAGATGTTTTGAGACTACAATTCCCATCATCCCTGACCACTGGTCCTGCTAGCTAAGGATCATGAGAGTTGCAGGCCAAAAACATCTGGAGGGATGAGGTTGAGGAAGCCTGATCTAGTCCAACCCCCTGAAATGCAAGAATATGCAGCTGTCCCATATGGAGATCAAACCTGCAACCTTGGTATTATCAGCACCATGGTCTAACCAACTGAACTATCCAGTTGTGGATGCATTACATGGAGTTTTATTTTACACAAACATGTTAGGATTGTGCTGCCCAGGCATGGTCATATGCCCAGCAACTATAGAGTGAAGTCCCTTAAAAATAATGGGACTTAGATCTGAATAAACGTATTTAGGATTGCTTTGTTAGGCTCCTAAATGCATGTGATGTTGGTCAAATGACTTTTGCACTTTGAAAATGTTGTCCCTTTCTAGCCAATACTATGGACAACATGCCGTAAGAGGCAACTCTCACCCACGATCTGTAGATAAGATTGATCCAAAAGTCTGTTTTTTTCCTACAGTGCAAACATACGTCAACAGCTAATCCAGTTTAAATAAGAAAACAATGTCACTACCGTATAGATTCTATTACCACTTTATCTTGAAGATTACCTTCAGATATCCTTTCCACAATCACAGCCGAGTTGCATAATGACCCAATTAAAAGCATGGCAATAGGCATCAAAGCCAAATGTCCGCAAAGTATCCCAAATTAATCTCCTGTGCATGTCTATCACACTGATTTCGATCAGCCTACTTTGTTGGGGCAGGTGTTGAGTACCTGATTCCTAGGCCAGTGTGATGTTGTTGAGGAGAAGAATCACACCATGTTGGTTTTCCACCAATACGTTGGTTTCCTATTAACTACAGTGGTACTTCAGGTTACAGACGCCTCAGGAGACTGACCCTGAAACTCCAGCAGCTGCAGAATGCCTTACGGGGTCCTCACCATGGGATCACATTCACCCGGTACTATACAGCTGCACTGGCTCCCAGTGGAGTACAGGATCAGGTTTAAGGTGCTGGATTTAACCTTTAAAGCCCTATACGGCCTAGGACCCTCGTACCTACGGGACCACCTCTCCTGGTATGTCCCACGGAGGACATTACAGTCTTCAAATAAAAACATCTTGGAGATCCCGGGCCACAGGGAGGTTAGGCTGGCCTCAACCAGAGCCAGGGCTTTTTTGGCCATGGCCCTGATCTGGTGGAACGCTCTGTCACAAGAGACTAGGGCCCTGCAGGACTTGACATCTTTCCGCAGGGCCTGCAAGACAGAGCTGTTCCACCAGACCTCTGGCCAAGGCACAGTCTGACCCCCTCCTTCGTTAATCCTCACAGAACTCTAGCCCAATGGTTGCCATTAATTTGATTTTGAATTGATTTTAGAATAAATTGGTTTTAGAATGCATTTCAATTAATTGATTGTGATTTTATGTAAACTGTGTTACTTTTATTGTTGTTAGCCACTCTGAGCCCAGCTTCGGCTGGGGAGGGCGGGATATAAATAAAAAAATTTTATCATCATCATTATTATTATTATTATTATTATTATTATTACAGACGCTTCAGG